CGGATCCAGTAGTGTAGTGTTTGTACCAGATACTCAGTATTTTAACGGGTCCAATAGTGTAGTGTCTGTACTAGATTCTCAGTATTTTAATGGATCCAGTAGTGCAGTGTCTGTACCAAATACTCAGTATTTTAACGGGTCCAGTAGTGTAGTGTCTGTACTAGATTCTCAGTATTTTAATGGATCCAGTAGTGCAGTGTCTGTACCAAATACTCAGTATTTTAACGGGTCCAGTAGTGTAGTGTCTGTACTAGATTCTCAGTATTTTAATGGATCCAGTAGTGTAGTGTCTGTACCAAATATTCAGTATTTTAATGGATCCAGTAGTGTAGTGTCTGTACTAGATTCTCAGTATTTTAATGGATCCAGTAGTGTAGTGTCTGTACCAGGTACTCAGTATTTTAACGGGTCCAGTAGTGTAGTGTCTGTACTAGATTCTCAGTATTTTAATGGATCCAGTAGTGCAGTGTCTGTACCAAATACTCAGTATTTTAACGGGTCCAGTAGTGTAGTGTCTGTACTAGATTCTCAGTATTTTAACGGGGCTAGTTGTGTAGTGTTTGTACCCTGTACCAGACACCAGGTATTTTAACGGGACTAGTAGTGTAGTGTCTGTACCAGACATCCTGTATTTTAACGGGACTAGTAGTGTAGTGTCTTTACCAGACATCCTGTATTTTAACGGGACTAGTAGTGTAGTGTAAAATACCTGGTGTCTGGTACAGCATATATTTTTACCTACCTTTGTTCTCTGTACAGTTAACAAACAGATATTTTACCTACCATTGTTCTCTGTACAGTTAACAAACAGATATTTTTACCTATCGTTGTTCTCTGTACAGTTAACAAACAGATATTTTACCTACCATTGTTCTCTGTACAGTTAACAAACAGATATTTTTACCTATCATTGTTTTCTGTACAGTTAATAAACAGATATTTTACCTACCATTGTTCTCTGTATAGTTAACAAACATATATTTTTACCTATATTTGTTCTCTGTACAGTTAACAGATATTTTTACCTATATTTGTTCTCTGTACAGTTAACAGATATTTTTACCTATCTTTGTTCTCTGTACAGTTAACAGATATTTTTACCTATCTTTGTTCTCTGTACAGTTAACAAACATATATTTTTACCTACTTATTACCTTACATATTACTTCTACGGATTTCATCTGTCATTGTTTAATTTTCTATATTTAAACTGTCATTGTTTGACTTAGCCTGTGATAATATCGGATGAACTGTTCATTTCACAAAGCGATTAAGTAACTAAAGTAAAACAAAAAAATGAAAACTGGTACTTTTTATCGACTGAGTGCTTGTCATTCTTCTCGGTTTATTGCTTTTCCTCGGGACCAGACATAAATACACCAATGAACGTCAAGAACTGAAGCCTGAACAAGCTGTACAATGAGACTGGTCACGATCGAGGCTTCTGTCAACAAGGATTTCTGGTATTCACTGATCTGTTCAAAGGATAAGTTACAGTTTGTCACTAATGTGGTTCCACTTTCTTATCTGGTCTTTTTATTTTGGCTCTACAGTCCAAGGGTTTGTTTGTAGTTAAGCACATAGCTACACAATGGGCAATCTTTGCTCTGCCCACCACGGGTATCGAAACCCGGTTTCTAGCGTTGTAAGTCCGCAGAAATATGATATCACAAATAGTGGTACAAAGTTGCAAGAATAAGAAAACACATGAATCAAAATTAATAAAATTCCAGAGCATTTTGATAAGAGAATATTTAAGTTCTTCAGATGGAACTCGTTACCTTGGTTAACGGTGAGCAACATTCAGTACCCTCGTTTTCATTGAGTTCTTCACCGTCATCTTCGTTACTCTCCAACACCGGATATCTCTGTACGAAACATTCCCCACTTCCAACCTTAGTGTAATAGTGTACAACTGCAAATTCGGCAATCGTTGCAAAAACGAAGAAAAAACAAAGTGCGACATAGTAGTCTAGAGCTGTACAATATGATACCCGAGGTAAATCATTCCTACTCTCGAGTCCTAGGAAAGTCATGGTTAGCACTGTGGTGACACCTGGTGGGAGAAAACATGTGATTACTGCTAATCAGCGAAAAAAGCTAATAGCGATGTAGTAGTCTAGAGCTGTACAATATGATACCCCAGGTAAATCATTCCTGCTCTCGAGTCCCAGGAAAGTCATGGTTAGCACTGTGGTGACACCTGGTGGAAGAAAAAACACGTGATTACTGTTAATCAGCAAAAAAAGCTAAGAGCGATGTAGTAGTCTAGAGCTGTACAATATGATACCCGAGGTAAAGTCATTCCTGCTCTCGAGTCCCAGGAAAGTCATGGTTAGTACTGTGGTGACACCTGGTGGAAGAAAACAAACACGTGATTACTGTTAATCAGCGAAAAAAGCTAATAGCGATGTTGTAGTCTAGAGCTGTACAATATGATACCCGAGGTAAATCATTCCTGCTCTCGAGTCCCAGGAAAGTCATGGTTAGCACTGTGGTGACACCTGGTGGGAGAAAACAAACACGTGATTACTGCTAATCAGCGAAAAAAAAATCTAAAAGAGATGTAGTAGTCTAGAGCTGTACAATATGATATCCGAGGTCAACCATTCCTGCTGTCTAGTCTCAGGAAGGTCATAGTTAGCACTGTGGTGACACCTGGTGGGAGAAAAAACTAGTGATTACTGTTAAAAACAAAAACTAATAGCAGCGTAGCTATCTAGATTTGTACACTGCGATACTGGAAGTAAATCATTCCTGCTCTCTAAACCTAGGAAAGTCATGTTAGCACTGCGGTGACACCTGGTGGAAAAACACACATTGATCAGCATTGAAAAATGAGGAAAAAGCTAAAAGCAACGTAGTAGCCTAGAACTGCTCAAAATTATACCCCAAATAAGTTATTTTTACTCCTTAGACCCAGAAAAGTCGTGCTTGGCATTGTAGTGACACCTGGTGGAAAAAACACGTGTTATTAATGTTTACATAATATTATCACAGTGTCCTCTATTACAGCATAATAATTTGAAAATAGATGTTAATTCCACCAAATTTTTCATAAACTCACAATATGTTTACTTAATTTTTAACAGTACTGGCGTGTTGTAAATAATGTTTCATAACAAAAGATTATTGATAAGTATGAGAAAAATATGCTTTTGGAAATATACATTTGATTTATACAATCAATATATCGTTAAGTTACCTAGTTGCTTTTCCATAGTTGTTGGTTTATATAATCATTTACACAATAAAAATACTATAATTAATTTCATTAATATAAAGAAAATCCAATAATTAACACAAACTAATTCTGAAATAAGAACAACGTAACACATCACCATCTGTCTGTTTAAACTCCAGCTACCAAAGATAATGTGGACACACATACGTAATACAGTAGGGTTAAGATAGTAATAAACTCATTAGCTTTCTTCATGGAAACCGGCCAGAGTAACACGAGATGTAATATGTAGCTGTGATAGCGAAAACACAGAAACAAGCGTTATAATTGGTGGTCAAGCTAGCCAGAATTACACGTGACGTTACTGTGACCCTGGTTTCTGACCAAGCTAGACAGAGTAGCACATGATGTTACTGTGACCCTGGTTTCTGACCAAGTTACCCAGAGTGGCTAGTGACGTTACTGTGACCCTGGTTTCTGACCAAGTTAGCCAGAGTGGCTAGTAACGTTACTGTGACCCTGGTTTCTGACCAAGCTAGACAGAGTAGCACGTGATATTACTGTGACCCTGGTTTCTGACCAAGTTAGCCAGAGTGGCTAGTAACGTTACTGTGACCCTGGTTTCTGACCAAGTTACCCAGAGTGGCTAGTGATGTTACTGTGACCCTGGTTTCTGATCGAGCTAGTCAGGGTACGACATGACATTACTGTGACCTTCGTTCCTGACCAAGCTAGCCGGAGTGACTAGTGGCATACCCTGATTTCTGACCAAGCTAGGCAAAATGGTCTAGATATGGTTTAAGCTGCGAAGGTCAAACAATATTGGAATTGAATCTCAGCCGTTTGGATACGGAAATGTAAAAAACAAAATATGAACCCTTATACTCAGATTGGCCTACTAGTCCCATTAAAATACCTGATGTCTGGTACAGACACTACACTACTAGCCCCGTTAAAATACCTGATGTCTGGTACAGACACTACACTACTAGACCCGTTAAAATACCTGGATGTCTGGTACAGACACTACACTACTAGTCCCGTTCTGTACAGTTAACAAACAGATATGTTTACCTGTCATTGTTCTCTGTACAGTTAACAAACAGATATTTTTACCTATCGTTGTTCTCTGTACAGTTAACAAACAGATATTTTTACCTATCATTGTTCACTGTACAGTTAACAAACATATATTTTTACCTATCGTTGTTCTCTGTACAGTTAACAGATATTTTTACCTATCATTGTTCACTGTACAGTTAACAAACAGATATTTTTACCTATCTTTGTTCTCTATACAGTTAACAAAAATTTTAACTGCTTGTGTGATTTTTCAATTTTTGAACTGATCAAAATTATGGCGTCTCAAATAAAAGGCAAAAAGACAGCTGATAAAAATCTTACATCAAAAACTACATTTTCGGGAACTGGCCCGAAAACTTTTGTCTCTAAGCGCTTATCAAATTTTTTTGTTGTTTTTTATGACCTAGTCAAACTACAGTAGATTATGTCCAATCTCACAGTTTCCTTATTGATCTAACTGTGTTGCATGTCTATAACAAATGTCAACAAAATATATGAAACCCGACAACCCGAACGCTTTCGGAAGATCTGCCTTTGTTCATCAAGGACAAAGAGCACGTAAAGTGAAATAATAAAAAAAAAGGTGACGTCATGGTAGATCACCATAACAACCCGGAAGTATTTTGGGTAACTTTTCAACAGGTTATGAACATTAATGATAAGAATATGTTAAGAGAACTTAGGTTGTCCAGTTTTCAAGCTAGAATTTGACACTAGAAATTAAAATAGAATTACGTGCAGATTTAGAAACAACCAAATATATATAAAACGCCATGTTCTAAATGTCATCAAACCAAATATCTTTACTAGTTACGTTTAAGGAATCCGAGATTGGATACCTTTCTTTTAATGTCGAAACACTTGACGTTCCAACAACTGCAAAAATATCTCACTAAGAATCCGCCTGTAAATAATTGAACCAATATATTAGGTTTATCACCAGAAAAGATACAGGAAACATTGCTCTGGAAACCTTGTCTATCTTACTAACGCTATTTAAATGGAATTCGCAAGTGTCTCTTGTTGAGGAGAAATTAGTTCCTCGCCGGATGGAAAACTTCTTGTGAGGATAACTAGCTCGTGAGAGGACACTTTGAAGTTGCACTAGACGGCCATTCCGAGGTCCAGTTCGGTCAAGTGACCGTTGGGTGGTGTGTTGTATGGAACTGATAGTCGACTGAACAGCTTCTGCCGTCTAATTCAGTAAAATAGAAAACAAAAGATCGTTTGTCAGATACTGGTTAAAAACTTATGAATAATAATAACAGTTTCATTTAAACAATAACGTATGTAAACGTTTTTATATTCTAATAGTTTCAAATAATATATTCATTTTGGAAGTAGCATCAAAATTTTGTGTTATATTTCAAGTCTAGGCCCAGAAGGATTAGAAACTATATCACAAAGCGTACATCTTTCTGGATAAACATATCATTTTCAGCAAGATATTCAAATGATATACAATTTATATCAAGCTTTATATTGTATTTCTGTAAGTTCTTTCCAAATCATATATGAGAACCTATGAAAAGCTTAGGGCAAATTTCACAAATCTTAAAAAGAAATACAGAAGATATAATAACATCAAGCTCCTATTTTACTGTCTGTCTCTCATATTCACTTGTCATTATAAAAAGAGTTCAGTATATTACGTTTTAACGATTTAGGAGACTTACCAAGTCATTGCGGCAATGTCGCCACGTCCGGTTAAACTCTATCTGATGACCGTGCATCTTAAAAATAGCCCTGCAGCGGAGGACCATCACGCCCAAAGCACGCGACTCGTCCCTGCAGGCTTTTAACAACCCATCAGTTGTGCGAAGACTTGTTGGATTTGTTATGAATTTCGCGCAAAGCTACACGAGAGCTATCTGCGCTAGCCGTCCGTAATTTAGCAGTGAAACACTAGAGGAAAGGCAGCTAGTCATCACCACCCACCGCCAACACTTAGGCTACTCTTTTACCAACGAATAGTGGGATTGGGCGCCACATTATAACGCCTCCACAGCTGAAAGGGCGAGCATGTTTGGTGGGATGGGGATTCGAACCTGCGACCCTCAGATTGCGAGACAATCACCCTAACTACCTAACTATGGTAGGCCTGTGCAACGACGAAGGTTTTTCAGTGCCCGTGTCTGCAGTTCAGTTCATACAGAACTCTATCGGTATGATAGATATGACTTCATATGAAATAGAACGAACACTATTTTCCTGCTCCAGCTGCTTTAGATATGCAACAGTTGAACGGGGGTATATAACTGGACGTCTTATCTTTGTGAATCCATACCCTGTTGGCTTCGTTTTCAGACGGAGATTCTTCTCGATAAGGTAGCTGTACTGTTGCCTGGGTTACGTGGACAGCTTTTGTCACCGGCTTGTGTATTCTCACTTGTTACGAAACGCCACATTTGTTTCACCACTGCTAGGGCACGAACTCCTTCAAGGTCTCTTTCGGGATAGTCCTAGGACCCCAAGTTGATCTATATTACTTGGATTTCCAATGCCATTAAATACAAGATAAGTCGCTAATCTGTAAATAACCTTATGACCTAAGTGTATGAATACTCTGATGTAACAAACCATTTCCAAAACTGATCGTACTACCTACGTAACACCAAACAATTCAGTTATTACACATGCTGTTCCAATATGACTTTATATCAGCTGCTGTGGTTGTCACGTGAACTGCTTATTTGCATATTCAAATCATTTTAATATAACTTACTCAACCTTCTAGGTTAGCTGTACGTCATTTATCTTTATCAGCTCCCTCTATACTGTTAAACTCT